CTGCAACTAATGGTGCCTGTATAGGGGTCTATTAAATTAGTTAAACAACTTCAATATCGCCCCTTCATTTTGTAACAATTTACACATATTTTTCTGTTCACTAGCTTTTGTAATAATTTTTTTTTTAATTTTGAGCAGACTTTATGAACACGCTGTATAATAAAAATGTCCAGGAAGAAAGAAAAAAATTTTAAAAAAATGTATGTTTAATAGGGCGGTGTAAATTAAGATAAAAATAAAAGATTGAATTTATATTAAGAAAGAGATATGCATATTTATTTATTTATTTTTATTTAGAAAGAAAGAAAGAAAGAAAGAAGTAGATGAGAGACTCGAAGGAAAGAAGAAAATAGAAAACGCCACGAAAAAAAGAAAGAAAGAAAGAAGAGGATAAGAGAGACGAGAAAAAGAAGGGAAAAGAAGAAACAGATGAAAAACGTAAAAAGCGTCTGAATAAGAAAGAAAGAAAGAAAGAAAGAAGACAGTAAGAGAGACAAGAAAAAGAAAGGAAAAAAAAAAACCAGACGAAAAACTTAAAGAGAGTGTGAATAAGAAAGAAAGAAAGAAAGAAAGAAAGAAGAGGATAGGATAGGATAAGGGAGACAATAAAAAAGAGAAAAGAAAAACCAGACCAAAAACGTAAAAAGCATGTGAATAAGAAAGAAAGAAAGAAACGAAGAAAGAAAGAAAGAAAGAAAGAAAAGGATAAGAGAGACGAGAAAAAGAAGGAAAAGAAAAAAACAGACGAAAAATGTAAAAAGCATGTGAATAAGAAAGAAAGAAAGAAAGAAAGAAAGAAAGAAAGAAAGAAAGAAAGAAAAGGATAAGAGAGACAAGAAAAAGAAGGAAAAGAAAAACCAGACGAAAGACGTAAAGAGAATGTGAATAAGAAAGAAAGAAAGAAAGAAAGAAAGAAAGAAAGAAAGAAAAATATGTAAAATTAATGAGCGATGAAACATAAATAGGAAACTGATGGTTGGCAAAGAAAGCCACAATCAATAGGCGAAAATTAATAAAGTGGAAAAGGCAAAAAAAAAAATGAAATAAACGACAACAAAATTAATGTCGATCTTGTGTATTCAAATATTTGACAAAATGGCGTTACGAAACCATGAAACTAATAAAGCATTCTCTAGATATGAAAAGAATTCCTGAATGACGATATTGCAGAGGACATTTTTTTAGTTTCAAATTAGTTCCTGAACTAAAGATTTCAGCTACAATATTTGTTACATTTTTTTATAAGTTTTCAAATTCGGCTTCATATTTTCGCTTTAATATATATCTGATTATTTGTCCAATATGTCTGTCTACCTCTCGAGTCTTCTAATATTTTCGATCGTCTCTCGTAATATATATATGGCCTGCATGATCGCCATTTTCGCTGAGTTTCCCTCCATCATTAATATACAGGTTTTAAGTGGAGTTATAAGAAATGATTTCTTAAGTTGAAAAATATTGTGGATCAAATAAAATAGACATGGGTTCGCACTGAAAAAATCTGGAAAAATGTATGACAAAGAGTAAAAAGTTTATGTGTGTGTGTGTGTGTTAAGAATACAATTTTAATGTCTTCTACAATTATAGCTAAAATGCTCAATATCAGGACAGAGCGTGTATAAACACTATAAAATAGCTACAAATAACAGTACTCACATCCACTAATATTTCTATTAAATAGCTTCTATAATAAATTGAAATATAACCGTTAACGCCTGGAAATTAACGGTTCATATAATACAGTAGATTTTATTACTCATAATGCACCATTAACAAACATATATAAATAATTGAGGCAATGCGCAACACACATGGCCTGAAGATTGCGTCCACGCATGAAACAGTCTGTCAGCATTTACATATATATATATATATATTATACTCGACTCTCCCGTCGAATTCGACGTATGAGTGTCAAGCATATCAGTTCCTGGGAAACCGATAGCCCGACAACAGCACATGAAATTTGATTATAGTGGTGAAGGTTTCGTGCAGGTTTTGAATTCAGAGTTTTCCTTCTCCTAGACCCGTTAATACCAGGACAGAACCCAGCTTCTCCTGATATTTAGCCATAGCTGGAGAGAGAAGAGGATTCACACCTTTCACAAGGGTATTAGCACGTAAGTGAATGTAATGGATTTGACTGGAATTCGAACTCGGCTCTCCGATTCCTCAATCGAAGCCGCTGTCCATTACCCCACCGTGCGTCCTCTTATTTTTATTTATATATTTTTATATATATATATATATATATATATATATAGAGACAGAGAGAGAGAGAGAGAGAGAGAGAGAAATAGAGAGAGGAGCCTTGGATGGCAACTGGTCTAGGAGAAGGACAACTCTGAATTCAAAACCTGCGGAGGGTCGTTTGGGAACCTAGTGTCACTCGGTGCACCAGGTCTCTGGATTCGGCCCTTGAAAAAAAGTGTGGATGGTCCTGCACGAAACATTCACCACTATAATCAAATCTCATGTGCCGTTGTCGGGCTGTCGCTTTCCTAGGAACTGATCTGCTTGACCCTCATACGTCGAACTCGACGGCAGAGTCGACTATATATATATATATATATATATATATATATACATGAAAAAATATAGTCTTAAGATGTGCTATATTTATGGGATAAAGTGCTCAAAATCAGAGATAGAACGTGTGTAAATATAAAAGTGAATATAGAAGTCAACACTTAGAGGCTACAGTCTGTTTCATGTTAGATGCAATCGTCATCTAGCATGAAACAGACTGTCGCCTCTAAGTGATGATTCTATATTCATTATATATATATATATATATATATATATATATATATATAATTTTGTATTAGGACAGACTGACAGGGAACTTCAGGTAAGTTTTTTATTTAATTTTTCTTGTGTTCTCTTCTTATCTGGAATTAAATTATGTAAAGAATATCCGAGCGCTTTCGGATATACAAAAGATCGCCGCTCGTAAACTGAAGTAAAAGATTGAAAACGCCGTGGAAGCTATAATAAAAACACAGCATAAATTGTCTTCTTGCAAGCGCTGATCTGGACGAAGATGTGACAGGATAGATCTCTTTAGCCAATAAGGTGAGAAACACCTGTCCGAGGTTGTTTAGCGAGAATATTTTACACATTAGAAGAGACTTCTAGATGAAGCAAGGTTGCAAGTGGAGGTGTGTGGAGTCAGTTGGATCGCTAAGGCAAGTATTAATAAAATAGAGAAGCCTTAGCAAGTGATAAGCTAGCTTCTCTTTTTAATTTTCACCATAAAGATTATAGATTAAATCGCACTCGACGTTTTATATATATATATATATATATATATATATATATATATATATATATATATATATAAAAAAAAAAAACAAAAAAAAACAATTATGTAAAAATGTTAATATAAAGTCGACGTCGGACTATTTAAGATGTCGACTTTATATAACATTAATACGTCATAATTGCATATTCAGATTTTTGTTTGTTTTTTCTGTATTTTTCTTTCATATTGTCGGATCTATATCCATATATTTGCTTACATATATATGTATGTATAGTATAGTTTAGTATAGAAAATTAAGAAATCAGCCGATTCCGCTATATTAGTTTCAAGCTTTGCTTATCTTCTGATTATTTCACTCCGTTGACTGATTTCCTAATTTTCTATATTTGAAAGCTCGATTTTTTGTCTTTTGATATGTGTATTGAGTATTTTTTATACTACCCTTTCCTGGTCTAATTCAACTCTAGCCATTAACTTTTATATATATATATATATATATATATATATATATATATATATATATATATATATATATATATGATAAATCCTAAAGTGTCAGGAAAACCTATCTAGGTTTCACCTAAACGGATCTTCAGGGTAGCTGGCATACCCTGAAGATGCGTTTAGGTGAAACCTAGGTAGGTTTTCCTAGCACTTCAGGATTTATTTCATTAATTCTCGCTCTACTTAGCGTATTGATAACTCTACGTTTTAGCTTTACTATTCTAATATTTTTAGTTCATTTTTTTTTCCCTATTTTTTCTCGGGTACCGATTTGTTTTGACATATCTACAAGTTGTGCTATCCGAGTTTTTTCCCAACCAAGTATTACTATATTGCATATGTATGTGTATTTTTACCATTAATATTATCAATATATATATATATATATATATATATATATATATATATATATATAATGATAATAAGAAGACAGGACGTTAATTTTCCATTTCGTTTATAATTTTTATTTCGGGAACACCAAGTTTTCACCTCATCACAATGAAAACCTGCCCCGAAAATCTAAGTTTAAGAAATATCTACCTATATTTAAATGGGGTCGTTTGCAGAAAGCAGGGGGTGAACCAGATTAGCGGAGCAGGTTTTCCTTCAAATGAGATGAACATCTCGGTGTTTACGAAATAAAAACTATAAACGAAATAGATAATTAAAGTCTTCGTCTTTTTATTATAATGCTTTGTATATTACAGATATAAAATCTTAATCTCTATCTATAAAAAGCAGGATGTGTGTGTGTGTGTGTGTGTGTGTGTGTGTGTGTGTGTGTGTGTGTGTGTGTGTGTGTAACGAATGCAGGGCCGCAATTTTCGAAGGATTTGCACCAAAATTTACATGCACATGTTCCAAGTTAGTGGAAAGGCCAAGACCGACTTTGCATTTCCCAACTCCCATCGATAGTGGAAATAATCGATTTTTTCATGCTTCTACGGCTGTTTTCATGTAGTTTGTGGCCATTTTCTACTGGCCAGAGTGAGAGACAACAGTTGACAAGGCAAGGAAGGGCAAAAATATTTTAAGTCAAGTGATAGCGATTGCTGTATGAGTCGTACGATTTTTGAATCAAGCACGGGCAACGCCGTACCATGCTGCTCGTCTAATACATCACTTCTAACATTTGTTTATGTCCGCTGTAAAACCCCGAAAACTGTCCGTCCATCCATCCTCGGGTCTTGTGTGTGTATTCGTGAACGTGCAAATATTGCGTAAAACTCTGATGATAAATAATCGTCGTGTACGTTATGTGTGCGAACGTCATCACTTTTTGGTTTTTCTTTCTTTCTTTCTTTTCATATCTTTTCTTTTGTATTAATTTTTATTTCCATCGTGCGACTTTCATTTTTTCATTCCTCTGTTTTTCCATGATAGATTTCTTTCTTTTTTCTTCTTTATTTTTTCTTATTTCCGTTTTTCTTTCTATCTTTTCTTTCATTCAATCTTCCTTCTATATTCGATCGTTTTTCCTTTTTTTCTTTTATGCCCTCATTCACTTCCTTCTCTCTTTATTTCTTTTCATTGTATTTAATTTTTGGTACTTTTTCTTTCTTTCTTTCTTACGACTTTCATTTTCTCCTTCCTCTTTTTCAATGATAGATTCCTTTCTTTCTTTCTTTCTTTCTATCTTTCTATCTTTCTTTCTTCTCTGTCTTTCTTTTCTTTCACTCTTTCTTTATTTACATTTCCTTTCTGTCATGTTACATTTTCATTTTTTCGTACTACTAGATCTTTTCATTCTTTCTTTCTTTCTTTCTTTCTTACTTTCTTTCTTACTTTCTTTCTTTCTTTCTTTCTTTCTTTTTTCCCGCTCTTTTTCTTTCATTATTTCTTTCTTTTCATTTCCTGTCTTACGTACGACATTCTTTCTTTGTTTCGTTCTTTCTTTCTTTCTTTCTTTCTTTCTTTCTTTCTTTCTTTCTTTCTTTCTTTCTTTCTTTCTTTCTTTCTTCTCTCTCTTTCTTTTATTTCACTCTTTCTTTATTTACATTTCCTTTCTGTCATGTTACATTTTCATTTTTTCGTACTACTAGATCTTTTTCTTTCTTTTCTTTCTTACTTTCTTTCTTACTTTTTCTTCCTTTCTTCTTTTCTTTCATTATTTCTTTTTTTTCATTTCTTTGTCTTTCATTATTTCTTTTTTCATTTCTTTCGTACGACATTTCTTTCTTTCTTTCTTTCTTTCTTTCTTTCTTTCTTTCTTTCTTTCTTTCTTCTCTCTCTTTCTTTTCTTTCATTCTTTCTTTATTTACATTTTCTTTTCTGTCATGTTACATTTTCATTTTTTCGTACTACTAGATTTTTTCATTCTTTCTTTTTTCCCGCTCTTTTTCTTTCATTATTTCTTTCTTTTCATTTCCTGTCTTACGTACGACATTCTTTCTTTCTTTCTTTCTTTCTTTCTTTCTTTCTTTCTTTCTTTCTTTCTTTTCTTTCATTCTTTCTTTATTTACATTTCCTTTCTTTCATGTTACATTTTCTTTCCTTCGTACTACTAGATTTCTTTCTTTCTTTCCTTTCTTTCTTTCTTTCTTTTCATTTCCAGCCTTTCGTACGTCATTTTTCTTTCTTTCTTTCTTTCTTTCTTTCTTTCTTTCTTTCTTTTCCTCTATTCGTATCATTTCTGTCTTTCTTCCTTTTCTTTTCGAATTAATTTTTTTTTTCCTGGATTTTCCCTAATTCTAATAAGCTTTTCTTTTTCGTTGGAACTTTTCCCAGAGAAAGCGAAATCTGTTTTCGTTTTACGCTTACGCTACTAACTGCTTAATGAACTTACTGGGCCGAGCCTCTGCAAATGAACGTTACTGCATTTGAATAATTCAATAACTATTTTTAACTGACAAAAATAATAACAGATTAGACAACGCTTAGTTATAAATTGAATTTCTTTCCCTCTGATATCAGAAGTTAAAGCAATCGAATTTGAAAAAGATAAATCACTGCCTTACTTGTATTTACATTTCAATCAGTTTCAAATGACTTGACCCTGCTCGAAACAACAAATTGATGCCCCGATCAGTAAATAAGTAATCTTAATGTCATTATAACCAGCTTCGTTTTCTGCATTGATACTTTACCCTCACTCTAGAGGTACGTCAGCTAGTATTCGTTATATTTGTTCATATTCTAAATGAACTACGGCCATGTTGTTTTAAGAATAATTGTCTACTACACAGCACCTATATCTACATTTTAGTGATTTTCCAAGCCTAGCTTAGGTGTGGCACAAGACCGAAATTATTTGGGCACCCAGTGAGGATTGAAGCCACTTTTCAGTCGTAATTGATCTAGCAAGACAATCTTGCTAACCATTACACCACGTCGAAGTGCCCGAGATGTGGCACGAGGCCGAAAGTACGGGGCACCCAGTGAGGATCGTACTCACTACTCAATTGTAATTTTTCTAACTAGACAAGCGTGCTAAAAATTAAACCACGTCGAGGTGCCCAAATGATTTCCTATGCATGGCTTAGATGTGGCACAAGGCCAAATGTGTGAAGTACTCGGTGAAAATCGAACTCACTGTTAAGTCGAAATTGATTAAACATTACACCGTCTTGAAGTCCCTGACCGGAGGTTATATGTCGCTAGCGCATTGTTATACGTCTTTTTTATGTAAGTCAGAAACATTGTAGTCAAATTTTATTTGCAACTAGCAGTATGTCCCGGCTTGATTCAAAAATCGTACGACTCATACAGCAAACTCTATCACTTGACTTAAAATATTTTTGCCCTTCCTTGCCTTTAAAGGAGTGCCCTGTGCCGTGCTGATGTTGCTACATGCCTTACTTCTTGCCTATCTCACACTACGAATTTTTTCTAAGCTCTATTACTAAACATTAAATCTGTTACGAAAAAAGAACTAAACAAAATGAACACAAAACGATCAGCTTTAAAAAAAGGACTCGTAACTGTAAAAACCGAATGAAAAAAGAATGTAAACAACAAATACTTTTTCACACCCAACCCAGTTCTGCGGAATCAGAATCAACGTTGATTTTAAGCAAGCGAATGAGCCAATTGGAGTAAAGTGCCATGCAGATTAAAATTTTTCCCACTTGTGACGAATGCAGCTATCGATTTATTTGCATGCTAGCATGCTAGTTAACATTCGTGTCAGTCAGCTGTTGGCTCTCACGCTGGCCAATAGAATATTTCTGCCTATTCGTGGCAGCCAGATATAGGCTCTCACACTGGCCAGTACAAAATGGCCGCAAACTACATGAAAACTGCCGTAGAAACATGAAAAAATCGATTATTTCCACTATCGATGGAAGTTGGGAAATGCAAGGTCGGTCTTGGCCTTTCCGCTAACTTGGAGCATGTGCATGTAAATTTTGGTGCAAATCCGTCGAAAATTGCGGCCATGCACTCGTTACACACACACACACACACATCCTGCCTTTTATAGATAGAGATTATCCGATGTTCTAATGATGCTTCCCTTCGATCGCCGTCGTCATCAGGTTAGCCATTGCTAGTTTTTGCTATCGGTAATAGGTCAGAGTGTCGAATTACAAAGCGTCGAAATGCAAAAAACGTCGAATAGACAAAGTGTCAAACGGGAAATGTGTCGAAAGAACTAAGTGTCGAACGAATAACGTGTCATATGGACAAGGTAAGTCTTTACTGTAGTTTAAATACAGATCCTTGTTCGAAAATGTTAAAAACTATGTAGCAAGTACTTTTTTCATCGGCGGAAGGAGTTATATTAGTTTAAAATTTAAAAAATAATTATTTATCAGCAGGATTCTTGCATGCAAAATAAAAGGTATTCTATTGTAGACACATTTCTTGCCTTTTGTTATTTAATCAGATCGACTCTTTTTTTTTTCGGTTCCCCACTTTGTTCATTCGTCACTTTGTCCTTTGACACTCTGTCTTTGCATTAAAATAAAAAGTGCTGAGTGACATATCCACTATGCTTGCTTTCACAGACACAGTATATATTTATGTATTTTGAAATATATTTATTTATTCAAAAATATATTTATGTATTTAAAAATTCATGTGAAAACCTAATAATATTATGGATTTAACGAGGGCAACTGGATACTGGATAATCTTACTGTAAGCTAATTATATACAATAATGGATCGTTTGCAATATAAGTGAGCAATTCAACTAGAAAAATTGAAAATAAATACAATGTATCTAAATACAAATTATAGACACGTCATAATCGATCATTCCATCTTAAATAAATCAATGTTTTGCAGCAATTTTTAACACCGTCTTGAAACTTGTTAAAAAGTTGAATAATTTTAACACATTCAACATTACGGGTAAAAAATAGTAAATTTTATATAGTATATTTAGAAAGTTGTTTTTTCATCTTTTTTTTTTATCTTAGTTTAAAATTTAAAAATAATTATTTTTTTTTCCGTTCGGCACTTTGTCCATTCGACACATCGTTTGTTTGACACTTTGTTCGACATTTTGTCCATTCGTTATTTTGTTTTTCGATACCCTGTTAGCAGCTGCCAAGTGTCCCTCTAAAGAAAAAATTTCCACTGGGCCCTGTTAACTCTCGGATCTTTTAGAACTGTCAGCCAAGAAAATTGGTCTTTTACTTTCTCACGCCAATCAAGCAACTCTCTACTCATCGACATCGACGATAGGACGAATAATCTCGTGACACTTCCTTGAAGCCATTAAGTGAATACATCGCTGTCTCCCCTTTTGATCCCCCTTACCCGGCTCATATTAGGAATCCTCTTAGACAGCGTCCGTAGAAAATTAACACACCCATACGAATATCCCTCGAGAGAAAAGTCTATTGAATGCATAAAGCTCTCCAAAAATTCACAGCTTAACACTATTTGTATTTTTCTGATTGTCTGCTTTGTTTTATCCTTTCCCACCAAGCAGGCGGGGGTTTCAGGGGGTGAAATTTAGAGAAACGATTGAGTATATGGAGGATTGAAGAAAGGACAAAAAAATGAACGAGATTCAAGAAAATAGAAGATGGTGATTGACGTTGCATTTAAATTTTTGAAGGTTGTAGTTATCAGGGAAGAAAGTAAACGAAAGGGAGTTCCACAGGCGGGAAGTGTGAGAAAAGAAACTATTAGAGTAGAAGTGGCGGTTGCATTTGGCTATTTCAACAGTAAACGGGTGTGACCTAGATATCAATATAGTGGCATGTTTAAATTCATGTAGTCCTCGGAGCATCAGGATAAGGGAACTCGTCAGAGCAGCGGCCACGAAAATATTTGTAGAAAAGGCAGAGGGAAGCCACTTCTCGTCTGTGAGAAAGTGACTGAAGCCGAGATGCCAAGTCAGGATCGATTACACTGCAGATCCTTCTTTGGATTTTGTCTTTGAAGAACCTCGAGATAAGTAGCAGGAGGACCTGACCAGATATGGCAACAGTATTCAATGCATGGACGAATGGTAGATTTGTAAATGTGCTAGATGGACTCTGACAAGAAAAATGTTTTGGCACGACAAAGTTACCCAACTTTCCTTGCAGTAGATGCAGTTATTGATTCATTGTAGTCGCTCTACGTCAAGTCAGTTGAAAATACAAAACCAAGTTAGTGCAGAGGATTACTCTCCAAGACTCTAGCGTGAGCCATGCTGATGGCAGAAAGGAATTTTTTTTTATATGGTGGTTAAATGAGAACAGTTTTGTTTCGGAGGCGTTAAAATTTATAAGTCATTTCTTGCCCCAGTTAACCACCGACTGGAAAACTTTTTCAAGTGCCGCAGCCAGATATACTTACAAATATGTTTGCATGATTCCTTAAATGCTCTTGCTGCTATTTCAATATTAAATTTTTGATTCTGTGACTATATTGTAGCTAATATATATAGTTGGATTGATGTTTTGAACAATAAAAATATTGAGAAATCAAAATTTTCAGACACACTGACCTGTATATTAATATGTTTTGTGTTATTATTTCAATTAGGTACCTCCATTACTTTCGGTCAGCATCAGGAGAAATAAATCTGCTTGTTAGTAGCAGTGAACAATAGAAATCAATGACTCTTGTTGTCATTTTATCATTAATTTTGCTTAGTCCTTGTGTTGGTCAAATGGCGTCTTTTAAGTTGCTTTTTTTTAAGATAGAAGCTGGATAGATTCATGCTACCCCCCCACACATATATATATATATATATATATATACACTATTCGGACTATTGTCTCAACTTTGTCGCCATTGTACGCTCCGGCTATCTTAGTTGGAATGAACACTTTATTTCGCTCACTGGGGTAGACTGTTCTAGTTCTACGTGCCATGTTTAACTGGCATGTTAATTCCCCTTTCAAGTTCTCGACTGCCTTAACCGTGTACTGAACTCACACTCTTTGGGTCCTGTCACTGGATCTAACCAACGCCTTTATCCACTGTGTCATGTGTCCCTGAGCACATCTGGGTATGTATTTCTGGGTATTATAAACCTAATGTCATCAGCAACCATTTTTACCCGTGATCATATAGCAACTTTGCTGTTATCATTGCATGTTTTTACTTGAGCTTATATTGCCGAAATGTTGTGATAAATATGGCGACAAAGATGAGGTCAATAGTCCGAATAGTGTACATAATACCTCATCTCAGAAATATATATATATATATATATATATATATATATATTGTTGTCATTGAATATTGCTGCCACATTTGGTGTCGAGCTTCTACT